AAACAAGGTTTACCTGGTCGAATTGCTGAGACTGGTAATATCCGATGACCGATAAATTTCCCTCCTTCTTCATACACTGCGAGTCTCAAACATGCGAGGGAAGGCAGAACAACCTAGAAGGCAATATTGCTGCGTTATTAACTTTCTGCTCTGAATGAAACAGCTCCTTTCATAGGCAACATAGCAGAGAAAAGTTCAGTCTAGCAGACAGTAACAACTACACATCCATAGGAAGGTCTTATCACATAAGAGGTCAGGGTGGATGCACCTGCATGTCAAAATAACTCTCAGTGAAACACTTTTCAATCATGAAACTTGAGGTGGGACATGTGCATTGTCTGCAATTTGACTCTACATTTTCAATATGATACAAGGGACCACATCAGCTCAACTTCAGTCCCACCTGAATGTCACTCCGCTTACTGCTTACAGCCCTACATGGTTGTAGGGCTTTGTGTTTATGCCAGTGGGATTACTGAGGCAGATTAGTGTTCGAGAACTCAACAAGGAACTCAACCTCTTTTGCAGAGTATGAATGTATGAAAGCCAAACAGCGAAAAAAAACCCAAGAAACTGGAAAAGATTACTAAACTACCTTACTAATATAGAAATCTTTAATATTACTTTTAAAAATGTGTAGCATAATGTATCTCATTTTCATACTTACTGCAAATATACATACAAATGTAGATATTTTTAACCTGGGCATAGGTATGCATTATTTCAGACCATATGCCAAAGTGTATCTAGGCAATGAAAGGAAAAAGAAACAAAAAAGCATCAATCCAAACCTAAGAGCTTCTCTATTTATTTTCGATATTACTAAAAATAGCACTCTATTCTTCCCTGAGCACAGAGGCAGTCAGGCATGATCGTTAACTAAATCGAGAAATGAAGTACACTAATTAGAAGTTCATTACAGAAGAAAAACGCTAGTGATGTTTCCAAACTTAAGCTTGGGCAGGCTGCCAAAGGAAAGTCATTCAGAAGGCCAAATATTCAGGGAAAAGGGCTGTGCTCCCTAGAAAGCAGGGCTGCAAGTACCAGTCGTGTAAACATCTCTGTGAACTATGTTTGCTGAAGGCAATACGAAATACAGTGGTTTACAAACACCTGGGCTCAAGATCCACTTAATCACAGCGCCCAATAAGCAAAATCCAGAGATCCTGTTAAAACCCTGGCTGCAAGCGTATTGAGAAGCACAGTAAGACATTCACACTGCACAATCCTCAAACATGCTCAGCATTTTCTGCTCCCTCAAAGTTTAGAGGATTGAGACTGAGTAATATTGTTCAAACTGCACGAGTAACTCAGGAGCCCATATCTCATTTCAAGTGGATGGGATTTATTCTGTTTCATCACCTGGGTTGTATTTCTACAGCACAAAGGAACATGAAGCAGAGATAACAGATTGCTTTGAATGTGCTAGCTCGGACAGCCAGGTTTTCACACTCTCCTGCTCACAGGATACTGGGGGGGCTGTTCAGGCAAGGCAAAACACCATGGTAATTCAGCTAAACTGCTGCTGGGAGCTGTGCTTGCTTGCTCATAGCTGGCACTGCACCGTGCCATGCAGATGAGCCTATCGACATCTTGCTGCTTCCAGCCGTGTCAGTGAAACAATCAAGATGACTTTAAACTCATTTATGTCATTAGGAGCTTGCACAACTAGATTAGCAAAAGTACACCCTAAGTGGTTAACAATAAACAGTTCAGGAAATAACTATTCAAAATCTCTTTTTCTTCTTTCTAGCAAATGCAAAGTTTCAGTAAACCAGAGCATTACGCTACTGGACAGTGATAAATCAAGCATGATGTACGTTTGGGAAGCAAGTGTTACACTGACCTTCTTAAACACTATGGTTTCCTCTTCCCAGACAGGATTAACTGCATTGCCTTGAGAGGTCTTGGTCTTCAAAGCTTTTCTTCTTGTATCCACAGGTAGGCCAAACATGTCCACTTCTACATAGGTACCCACTTTTTTATCAGAAAGAAACTGACCTGAAATGATCTAAAACCAAAACAAAGGAGGATCACTAGAGACCACTTGGAGGATTAGGAAATAGGTAGTTGAAATACAGATGGATAATACTCATTAATGATCAGATAGTGTGCATTTAAGATCAAACCAAAACAAAGCCAAACCCACAGTAAACAAACCCCTCCACTGTTTAATATTATAGACACAGAAAAACAAGTTACGAGGCCTGGTTTCCTGTGACCCTGTGGTTCTGAATTCCCCTATGAGCAATAATGTGGTTGAGATCATGCTGCTGCCCTTTCGTCAGCAAGAATACTCATTTGGATCTCATCCTCAATCCAGCTGCCTATTTCCACGACACGGTAACTCTGAGAGCTCTAATTTCTATTCCAGCTTCAGCAACAGGTTCAAAAAATGATGGAAGAAAAGAGGTATAAGCAGCAGAGGAAGTACACATGCTTTTGACAGCGAGGCAGAAAACCAACTAAACAGTTGGTATTCTAATAAAGTCTCTTCAGAGAGGCTGAGGAGTTTCACTGTAAGAATGAAACAACTAGAAAATAGCTGGTCTTTTCAAGTTCTTATTTTAACAGGAGACAACTTTCAGCTTTAGAAGTTAAAGAAAGGTCTGCAATTACTTCAGAAAATTGAAGCGATGCGGAGTATGCAGCAGTGTCACTGCACCTTCACGAATTGAGGCTTGCCTAAAGCAACCCTTAATCTGTTCTCAGCTGTACCTTGTGTGGGCACTGACATTCTAACCAGCAGGTTTCACCAAGCAGGTGACTTCTGAGAGCTGCCTCGTGACTCCCGGATGCTCCTTCCTGTTAAAAATGCTGTGCATCTCCTAATAGCTCTTGAATGACTTCCACCTTCATTTACTAAAATTGCAGAAGAAAGTGCTGCTAAACCCACAGCAGGAACTGAAAGCTTCCATGATTACAGGTCACCACTAAAGGTCATTCCTACACAGGCATCTTTTTTTTCCCCTGCATTGGTAAAATCAGAGTATTACCTTACTCATATCCCTCCCAGCACTGCTCTGCTACACTTGTGCTTGCAGCCTGAGAGGAAATACTTGTTTTCTCTCAGTGAAAACAGGAGGATATTTTGCAGGTGGATTCTATAATACAGGTGCTGTTCTAATGGACAAGTCCATTTAAAGGAATAACAAGATTTCAGTAAGTTAATGTTTTTATAACTAGAGCTATACCAAGTATAAATTAATGATCCTGCCTTAGCCGATGCAATCTATCCCTCTAAACGTTCAAATAGTTCTCAATTTGCAGATTCCTGGCAGTCCTTGAACTTCACTAGAAGTCCCTAAAAAGAGCAAAGAAAAGCAGCTTGGCAATGAATTGCAGCTGGCATTTATGGTTCCACAGTTCTGCTGGAGAACTTAATAGGGAACCAGAAAATGTATTTGTAGTAACCAGTGTAGTGTTCTAGTCCAGTCCAACCTACCACTTCCTAACAGCAGGTTCTAAATTCAGCCCTTTGTTACTAAAACCACAGCCAAACTACTCTTAAATCCATTCACTTCCCAATTATGTCTATGGAAAAGAAGATATACAATAAAATTACACTTATTTATCCTTCAATATGTAACGTGAGGCAGAGTTTAAAAATGAAATGTCACTCCATGAAATGAAAAGCATTTTATTTTCTTGACTTAGTATAGGCATGTGCTAGGGCACTGCACAACAGGAATACATGTATGCTCTGACACGATAATGAGAGCATTTTCACCAGCTGCATACATACCTTGACAGACAAGGTGTTAGCTACTATTCCGTCCACTATACCTTCAGTAAATGGATCAAAGTGTTTGTCTGGTCTTCTCATGAATTCTGGCTTTAATCTGTAGCCACTTTTGCCATTGTACTCATACATTCCCATGTTTATTTGCATAGACAAATCTAGGTATTAAAAACATTGATAACAATTATGTTCTGAATAGATACTGATTTAAAAAAAGCAATAATAACGATTACTATCATTTCAAACTGACTGTAATGTAAACAGCTATTTATGTCACACTGTTGCTTTAAAGGCTTCAGATGTGATAGCAGCTACCCTTTCGGATTCTTTTGACAAGAAAAAGGCATCTTTAAGACATCTTCCAGAACCCACTCAATAGAAAACACTTTCAAATTCTAGAAGAAGCTTTAACACCAAGGCGCTGAGTCCCTCAGTGTTGTACTGATCGTGCTGTTGTACCCAGCCCAGCAGAGTAGTTACGTTTCTAGCCCCTTCTCACATCAGACACTGGGTGCTGATACTTGGCACCAAAGGTTTTTATCACTCTGCAGACTCCCAGTCTGTGAGAGGTTTTGCTTTCCAAAGTTGTACATGGGCAAAACTGGAAAGGAAAAAGGGAATGATACCGTAGTACCATGTGCCCAGAGGCAGAAAATGGTAAGGATATGTCCTGGAATGCAGCAGATTGAAATATTTTTAGGTCTCAGAACAGACATAGCCTTGGACAACAACATACTCTATTTAAAAAGGGACTTGTGCATCTAGGAGGCCAAATGCCTTTGTCCCTTATGTCTTGAATTAATGATATTTTCAAGAGACATGAAAAAAATCCCTGCCAGATCTGAGATGCTGCTCAATGGTAACCACTTACAAATGATGACAATGCGGAGGGTGTTATGTATGCATATTATACCAGCTACAACATGGTAGTTAAGAATATTCCTAGTTAAAAGGAAAAAAATGGTGGTAAAGATGTGAATTAACAGCTCTGCAGGACCATTCAATCACCAGACATCTTTTGATGCATAAGGCCTTTTCTACCTATATTTCAGAAACTATATCAGAGAAGTACAAAATGCAGAGACCAGCATAACTTACCTACAGTTTGGAAGTTAAGAGCAACCATCTGGCAGCCAGCATTCCAGAAGACTTGTGGCATGTAGTTGGAAGAATCTACACGTGTTCCCTTTGGGTAAATTCGGCTTAGCTGCATTTTGTTGTATCTAAACGGTGAGTAGTTAAGATATAGTACCATGGGACAAAAATCACTTTGCAGAGATACACAACTGCAATATTTAAATGCAGGTGTTCTTTACAGAATGGCAGGGGGTTCCTTACTGGATTTCAGAAACCACAATGCTTCCAGAGGTCCAAAATTTGGCAGGAGTGATGATAAATATGGAGTAAATGAAGGTGCTGTTTGTTCCTGTATAGACCACTCAGAATAAACAAGGAAACAGCGCAGGCATATCCATTAAAAAAATCAGATTCATAGAAGTCCATTTACCATTATGGTTATTAATTTGGGATTTTCCTAAGCTTGCATTTCCAGAGGTCAGTGAGCTGTAAGCAGTGCATCTTCCTCTGGACTGAGGAGAGCTGCTCAGTTAAGAAGTGCTCTTCTGGAAGGAGCATTACAATTTGCCCCTACATACAGACAGAAGTGATGAGTGTGCACTTCTTACAGCTGAGTCCATAAATCTCAGAGATGAGAACATGCTGCAGGTTATCTGTGGAAGTTGCTTTCCATTAATCTTCATTGAGGCACTATTTTATCTTGGCCGTACATTCTTAACTGCAGCCATGATGAGAGAGATCGAGAAACATGAAAAGGTCTACACAGAATGGTCTTTAGCTTTTCTTTAAAAGTTATTTAACCCCCCTCCCATTCCAAGTCATGTAAAGAAAGAATTGTGTGGCAATGAAACAGCTCAGTGCTCTTAGAACTAGAGGCACGATGGGAAAGCAAGCTTTCTCATTTGACTTTGCAAGAAACCAAGTCAGGCACACTTTGACAATTTGCTCAGCATAAGTCATACCACCTCATAGAGGATGATAAATTTAACAAAGGGAATAAAAAGTATCAGCTCTTCAATATGTAGTTTATGCCTATTCCCTCTAGTCCTAGCCCACAGCACAAGGACTCATGCCAGCTTTTAAATTAGCTCACCAGAACTCAGGCCAGTTAATTCCTCTAGGAAGACAGTCAGATCTACAGATTTCATTTGGGCTCCCTATTTCCCCAGCTCCTGTCTCCAGATTTCAATAAAGCCCCGTAACAGATGTTGGATATAGAAAAGCTAAGAAAGTGGCCAAGAAAGTCAAGGATACTCCACAAATTCCACAGGAGACTTCGTCAGTTGCTCGAGCCCTTTCGTTTCCACAAAGGAAGACATTTCAAAGCTTTTGTTGCGTTCTGGAAGTTCAGAGGGGAAATAAAGAGTGACACATTAGAGCATGAAATCATATGTGATCCATGAGCTGCAAACAGCTCCTTTAGTCTCAGCCCCCTTATCCCATCTACTGTTCACCCGCTCACTTCACCTTGATCTCAAAGAATTTACACACACAATTGTTTGCAGGCAGCAGTAAGCTCACTCTGCACATACTCCAGAGCTCCATCTGAACTCACATTAGCATTGCCCAAATTAAGGGCATTGCTACTGCCCGAGATTGCTGCTGTGCCAGCTGCAGGCAAGCAAATATCAGTGCACAGGCAGAGATCTCTCATGTTTGCTTGCAAAATACCATGCTGATGTATTTGAGAGGTAGAGCCCAAAACTCACACCTGTGATGCAGAGGTATTGTAGCAGCTTTTGTGGGGAACAGAGAGGGCCCTGCTGGATCTCTAGATTGGCTTTGCAGGCAGATGCAAGGGCTTTGAGCCAATCTGGAGCAATAATAACTAACGTCTGTGTCAGATTAAACTAAGCAGTGCTCTAGCTGTGCCTACAGTGGTCCTCATTATGTTCAGTATGTCAGACTAAGGTCACATCTGTCTCAAACAGTCATGGAATCACTGCTATCTAATGAAGCCTGAAGGTACACTCCTGTGTCTCAGCAGGTCTTCAGACCTAACCACAAATTAATATCTAACTTCTATGACCTTTTTAATTTGGTCAAACTTTCTGGCCTGACAGTGGTGAAATCTCCTCCTAAGTTTATAACTCAGTGGGGCTAGACATTAATTTATGTATCATTTGTTACATGCCTTTGCTGATGTGTGCACAGCCTTCCACTGTGCCCATGTGAGCTGCTGTAGCAGACAGCCTAAGTCAAAACCCTCCGAGCTTCAATATTTTTTCCTTTACACTTTTGTACAGGAGGTAAGGATTCCTGTAAAATAACAGCTTCCCATTTCATCAGCTGTGTACATTGCCTTCAAGGAGCCAAAGCGCTGGGAGGTCATATCCATTAGATATCCCAGCACTGCTCTCTAAAAACAAGGGAAACAGTGCCTGCATTGAAACATGAACTCTCTAGCCTCACCACTTTATTGAAAGCAAACAATAAGGCAGAGAAAGGCTTGCCCTTATCGGGTTTTAAAAGTAATTGTGCTGCAGTATTCCAGGGCTGGCTAGGAGCACAGCCTGGCCAGCTCCCTTAAGTCAAACTGCGAAGCTGCAGGAGAAGGGTAAAACTGAACAAAAGCACTTGTCTTGCAGAGAGAAACAGGACAGAAAACAGGTGGGCACTTTCCTTATAGGAAGCCAAAAAGGAAGCAGTGGATCCAAAGAAACGAGGAGCTAGATTGCTTGGGCCAGTATGAGAGGAAAATGTGCTGGCAGCCTGTGAACTATTCTCAGTGTATGTTGAAGGGCCGGAGGATGACTGTGGTGTTCCAAAAGTGGCTCTCTCCCTCTAGGAGAGGTGGGACTCTGACTTTATTGTGGTCCCTATTTCTAATTAGCAACCATTACGCTACTGCCTTTATTCATAGCTGTTATCTCCTAATGGCAAAAGATTCCTGCCGTTCCCTAGAGGCTGCTCTCCTACCACTCCTCTTCCTTTCCAACACGCAATATCCTCTCTTTCTCCAGACTCTGTTCCAGCCAGCTCACCTCTTTATAAGGGCACTGAGATTGTTCTTATTCCATCCTTCCCCTTACTAATGGAATAGCACTAGCCACACACATACAAAGTGGGTTTATTATATTTAGAATGGCGATGCTTGAATTTGTTGTAGTAATATACTACGACAAATTATATTGTATCTCTCAGCCTTATCATAAAGTAGAGCATCTGTAGGAAAACAGAATGGGAGCTGTTAAATGATTCAGTTACTAAATGTTCAGGGCTTAATCAAAGTCCTAATTAAAATAAGAACAATTATTTCCTTGTAGTACATGGAGAGGATTAAGAAACCTGCCTTTTGAAGAAAAGACTGTGCAGGAGAGACATTTCTCTCTCATGATACAATACACTGCACTATCTTACCAGGAGGAAGTCACTATGGAGTAGATGAACATCTCATTGAAAAAGCTGTCTGAAATACTTGAAAAAACACAGTCACAGCTACTTGCTGTCAGAGAGATGGAAGATATCTAGTGAGGGCAACCAGGGGACTGTTACATTGTGTATTGAGTGCTACTCAATATTTTGGGTAACAAGTTGGACGCAAGGCCAGAAAATGCACCTTAATAATGCGTGAATGGCAGAAGCAGTGATGTAGCATTATCACCACGGAGGCCAGGATCACAAAGGGAAACAAATTCTGAATTAGGCAATAAAAATGCTGTAATACTGAAATGAGACTGTATAAAAGACAAGTATGGAGCTCTACACTTAGAGAAATGAAGTCATGCAAACAAAAATGAAATCTGGGCAACAACCAGATAGGCAGCAAATGAAAAACCAATCCTCTTCTCACCCCTTTCCTTATTGAGCTCATCTACTACAACCAAACCCCACAAGTCATGTTACAGAGCCCACTGCTTTAACCAGCCAGCAACATTTACCAATAAGGCCACTGCTTTCATGAAACCAGCCATATTTACCACATAGTGATTTTGACCCAAAACCCAGAACCATGAATTCCTTAACATTATGTGTTCACCGAAACAGCGATCAAAGGTCACAGCAAGACAGGATAAAAACCATGGACATCAGCAGTTCTTTACGAAAGACAAAACTCAGAAAGGCACAGAAGAAAGCTACACAAGACAATCTCCTAACAGCTGCACCAACTTGTCCTGCTAGGATTCACATGGCTTCCTTTCCAGAAGGAGTATCTCCTTCCCACTGTGTTCATAACTCTCTTTAGAGCTAGAGGAGGTTATAAACATCCAAAGGGACATTACTACAGGGGTGCTCTCTGCATGACTTTGTGAATGCTTGTGTGTATGTCTAAATAAACACCCACATACAAATGAACATGTAGATAGCTTCTTATCTGTTTTATTACTCATCATGAGTGAATGTAAAATCTTGTGTACAGATAAGGGACTGAGCACCAATTACCTGCCCTCTGCCAAGGCTTATTAAAATGCTATACACTTCTATAACTAAAAAGCTACAAGAGCATATTGAAACCTGTCAAAACAAAGTGAAAAAGGGCGGACAAACAGCAGGGGGTTCTGCACCACGGAAGGAAAAGATGCGGCACTGTTTACTGAGGATGCCACTGAGTGCATTCCTAGCAAGACATCTTCGGTAGAAGCCAGCAGGGGATGAAATTATGGCCTTTTCCATACAATACAGAGAGGCAGGAAAGAGTAAATCTGCACATGGGGAAGGGCAGACTCTGCTTACCCTTAATCCTCTATAAGCAGAGGCAAAATAAAAAGCACTTGCTCAATCTGCAGTGATATTTATGATCACTTTCTCAAACTGCTTAAGTTATTCTTTGGTCATGGACAACAATATAAGAGCACAGTTTTACAAGTGTATTTGAAATGGCAGCATGTTTACTGCTGAAGGTTGATATTTAGACTAATACAGGTTTCAAAATGAATATGGATTTATTTGGCTGAATACCAGGGAACACCATTTGGCTGAATACCATTTTCTGTCCATGTGCCTGTATCTGACTCACAGGGAGCCAAGTAGCATTCCTCCAGAACTTTCTTCCCAAGACTTCCTAGGTAATTTCCAGTACCAGATGCTGCTCATGCTTAGCTTACTCACTTTTTGATACTTCAAATGACTCAAACTTCACAGGCTGAATGTAGTTCACCAGGTTAGACATCTCTTCGGTGGCCATAGCCTCACTTCCAGCAGTACCCTAGGACAGAGAAGGGAAAATGCTGCAGTTTTGATCAGTTCATGGTGGCCATCAGAGACCACAAAAAACAATGCCCAGTTTTCTATCAACCATGATATCTCTCACTCATCCTGGCTTAGTGAAGTCAATGCTTCACATAAGGAGCTTCACATAGTAAAGAAGAAAAATTGCTATAAATTTTTAATTAAGCTGATGCTATTTACGTTCCTTTTACATGGCTCCTAAGGAAGGGACTGATTTACCTTTACATGTGCATAGTGCTAAGCACATTTATCAGTACTGTTGGATAAATAATAAACATAGCTCTAAGTTTCTAATGCCATGATCGCCTTAAAATAATGATAAATACACCACAAGCAGTTGTCTAAAACAGCTCAGAAGTAGTGCTATTAATTCTTATTCTTGACTAGATGAAAATACAAATAAACAAAGCAAAAATGTGCTTCCAAACCAACTTCGGAAAGTTGGTGGTGTGTTTCTCTGTGCTCTGCCTCCCTTTCTCCACTAGATGGTAGTCCCACTCCTGGTAGCACAAGCCAACCCACAACTACTGGACCCGACACATCACCATAAAACGGATGTACGCCCTTACTTCATCCATCGACGACTTTTTACAGTCATCATCATAGTCATCATCGTCATCGCTCTCAATATCTGCTTCTCCTAGAAAGTTTTAAGAGAAGATAATTACTGGCTGAAGCAATAGTTATAATTACCAGAAATAAATTGAGGAAAGATGTGCAAGTAGAACTGCTTAAAGGAGGTGACTTTAAAACATGTGCTTTTTGACACAGCACAAATCAAATACACCGTCTCAAGGGATCCATCCATCTTCAGCATTGATAAGTTCTTATTGTCCAACCAAACAAAAACTCTTCCTCTGCAGCTGCTGGATGCTCAGTGTTTGGAAATCGTGGGGTAGGCATCAGCACTGAGAAGAGAGCATTGTGGTGTGTGCAGTGTATGGGTATAGTATCACAAACTACTCTGAAGAGATGTTTCCATGCTTGGAACGCAGCCCTGGGGTTTGGGAGGTGTGAGTTCAAATTCTCTCTCTGCAGCAGGATCCCTGCAGGACCTCCATGAATGCCTCACCCGCTCCGGGAAGCCCACATAGCATGCATGGGGTGAAGAAATCACGCCTGAGAACTGATGAGATTCTCATGTGCTGCGGTGTCAAGGGCTGCTCAGCGAAATCCATCTGCTCTGAACACATCGCAATCCACGGGCTGAGGTAGCGCAGCTGGAAGGATCTGGCACAGGAGCCCAACTGCAATAGCTTGACTTCAACTCCCTTCACAGGCTGCTTCGGTGTGCCTTTCGTTCAGAACTCCGGTGGCACAGCTCAAATACACCGGCTGAGGGCAGTGCAAATCAAATAATGTGAGGAAGATGCATGAGGCTCATCCTTTCCCTGAAACCGTACCGATACAGTAAATGGGACCACATGAAGTATGTTTTATGCCTTGCTCCCAACTGCGGTGTTCTCATCCAATTATTATGCGCAAGACACAGATTCTTTATTGTTAATTAACAAGTGCCTCCCCTCACCTCCGAAGTGTTTTGATTTGGTTGCATCAGAAATTAAACCATGAAGGAATATAGCGAGCTTATCCTTTTCTTTAGTGACTCCTCCTGTGGGCCTGGCTGTCATAAAGTCTACACTGTGCATCTTAAGAAGAGTTTGGAAAAGAAGGTTTAACTTACACTGCAGTCACTTATCCACACCTGTAAGGTTGACAACTCTCCCCAAGGATCTTATTCCTTCCAGCTTTCTTCAGCAATGGCATTTTTATTTTGGCAGCACTAATCCCTGTGCAGCATTCCCAAACTCTCCAGAGATTGGTAATTCAGTGTCAGCTCTTCCTGTCAATTTAGGGTCTAATCCAAAGCCCACTGAGTCAATAAAAAACCTCCTCTTTGTTCCAGAAGGCCTTGAATCATGCCCAGCGGGCCCTCTCTGAACAGAGAGCACATATGAGTGTGCCTTTCACAACCAAATGATGACTACCCAGGCTCTGTTTCCTTCCAGATGCAGATGTTGAAATGTCAGCCTTTTATTCATGAACGCATTTCTTCCTGAACATTTCATTGAAGAAAATAACATGATTGCTCAACAGGCTCTAGGGATGAGCTCAGGGAACCTCAACACATTGCGAAGAGCCAGCCGAGCTCTCACAGGATTTGCAGTGACAATCTTTGGATGGGAAGCTCTCAGTTGATCTAGCCAGGCTGGCAAAACGCTCTGCACAGTTCACAGAATGAGGGATGTGGGCAGATTTCAGCCAGCTTGCACTGCTGAGGTACCAGGTAGATCACAGCTGCTTCTCGCTAGAAGTGTCCAGGGAGGGAAGTACATCACAGGAAAACTCCCAAGGAGCTCAGATCTCATTTTCGAGTTCTGCATCAGGCAGCAAAACCCGGACAAATAATACACAGGGTTGCAGACAGAATAAAAATCAGTATGTGTTTTAGACAGCCTGACTACATCTGCATTGCCTTTCACCCAGCAGCATGGTCCTACCTTCAAACTGAACCTTCCTTTCCCATTATACTGCTGGGACACAAAGTCAGAGCAAGTCTTGGCTAGACTGAGATGTCTTGTACCGTGGATGTCTTCGTGCTCACCCTCCCACAGTGGTGGTGGATCAGCCCCATGTCATCACTCCTGTCCCTTCCCAGGAGGGCACAGACACTGTGTATCATAAATGCACGTGCACTGGCACATGCAGCTGTGTTGCAGGTCAGTTCCAGTATGTATGTGTGAGCTTGTCCAAGGGACAATTAGCTGTAATGGCATAATTATTATTTGCATGTAGATGGGACTACAAACCCAGGGCAGGCCAGGACTTCTCCATGCTATGTGGCATACAAATACCAGTGAAAATAGACAGCCCTGCTCCAAGGGCTTGCCCTCCAGGTCTGAGACAAGAGCCTGCCCATGGACAAAGGTAGACAGAAGAGTATCAAGACATAAAAAGATGTTGCTCCCTACCACAACAGGTAAGTTATAATGCAGATACTGTGAACTGCTCAGAGGCAGAAGAGCACAGGAAACTTCTCCATGGAATAATGGGGCAGTTTCAAGGATGTTTTCAGGGCGCTGTTCCTACTGAGTGGGGCAGCGTGGGGAAGGCATAAAAGTGCTCGTTGGGCAACATAACAAGTGTACAAAGGAGGCTGAATTCCAAGTGACAGGTAGAGGGATTCAACACTGTAATATTGAACGGAAGATGATTAGGAGAGAGCTGGGAATGACAAGCCAAATCCCTATTACCAAGGGTTGAGGAAGCAGAGTGCTAAATATTATCCATTCTCACCATGCCTCAGCAGTGTGACAGATATTGAGAGCCTAATAAAACCAAAGGTTACACATTGCTTGAAATTCAGAGGAATTTGGTAATCTGCTTTCTCAGACCCCTTTAAAGTAACAGCCAGAATGGATTATAAATGTGGAACTTGCTGGTGCAGCTTGTTAGCTCGATAATGCTCAAGCAGCCACCAGCACCTTTTGGGTTTTTTCCCCACAGGCTGTGCAGGAAAGATGAACTTTACTCAGTTTGATAAAACCTTTTACTTTGTACCAGTGGGCTGTGGCCTCAGCTGGCAGGCAGCAGCAATGTACCAATGCATTTACATGCACTGAGGCTCAATCCTTTAATCCAGTTTTCTATTTAGTCAGTGTGAAATGATGGAGCCAATTCTACCCTCTCTCTCATTGTCTTCCCATGACTCTTTCCTTGCAGCACCCACTAAGAAAAATGTCATTTCTATCAGTGAGAAATGAACAATTTGCTTAAAAATTTAAATACTGTTCAATTAACAAGTTTTGGCTACTTTCTGTATAGGCTTACAAACGTAAAATGTACGTACCTGCAGAACTGCCACTGTTCTTTTTGTACTGTAATGTACAAAATCTTGCGTATTGACTTCCATTCATTGTGCTAAACCAGCCAGGTCCAAGATGCTTGTTTACCAAAACTGCAGCCTATCTCACAAACGTTATCTCAGAAATCCTTTTTCTGCTTTGCCAGCCCTGCTGTACCTTTAGGGAAAGCTTTTTCCACTGACAGACATTATACCCTCTGAAGTCACTTTCTGCATTGGTTTCATGGACACCCCTCAAGCCATTCTGCAAACCTCATTTCAGAACTGGGTTTTTAATTATTGCTACTATATCACTACCACCTATCTTTTATATGGTATGTTTTATAAACATAACAAAAGAGTGGTTTATTTGACTCTGAATCTGGCCTCAAGCAGTGTAAGACACAGTGAAGCTTGCTATCAACTGAAGTACAGATCTCCATGGGTTTTGTACTGATGTGATAAAACTCATTTGAAATCTCAAGAAGGCTCAATCAGCACAAGTTTCTCCTGGAGATCAGCAGTAATACTGACAGGAGTTAGACAATAAAATACAGGGGGTTTAATTATATGTTCATCTTGCTAAATGTAAAGATTATATTGAGGTTGGAGTATCAAAACACTATGTAAAGAAATGTGAAGAATTAGGCCTCCTTTAGTGAGTCTTTAATTGCATTACTCCTGCCATGCTGCAGCAGTAATTGGTACTGGGTATAGAGGAGCATAATGCTCGCATTGCTCCAGCATTACTGTTCCTGATACTGAGAAGCATGTAAAGAACGAGGCAGCAAAATGAAGGGTGTCATGGAGACTGCTGAGCACTACCCATGGAACCATGCTCTTCACTAGGTCTTGCCACAATGGTCTTATAAAATGGTGAACAATTCTATATGTAAGTTTTTAAATGGTCACAGACAGAAATCTGGAACCTGATTTGCAGACATGCTGCGTGCTCATTGCTGTAAAGCTGTAGCTGAAGTCTCTGGGTTGTGCTCTGAATACCTAAAAATTCAAAGTACTCTTGAAAAATCAGATCCTGGATGTTCCTTGTCAGTCACCCCTAAACTGTTCTTAAGCTCTCTCAGACTCGGCTGCCCTTAAATTAAATTGGCTTAATATTATTTCACTCCCCAAAGCTATTGTTCAGATAAATTCACTGCTCTTAGTCAAGGTTCATATGCAGCCTGGACACCTCCACTGAAATTCACTGCAAGATGAGGATGCTACATACACCTGGGATCAAGCATTAAATGGCAGAGAAAGAAAAAATACTGACTAACTGCATTCTCTAAAAGAGGCGTAGGTCCTGAAGGAGAAACAGTGGCCAAAGGAAGTATTACCAGTAATGTATTTTGGCAGTCACAGAAGAACCAAGGGACCACATCAATTTTGCAATCTCAGATCTAGCCTTTTCTAATTTGTAAGTGTTCATCTTCATAACCTACAGTTGACAGAGGTTGTTATATAGATCACAGGGACTTAATATTCACAGTTAATTTGCTAAATTACAGATCCTGTTATGGGACTAATCCCCCACCTTGCATCATCATCATCATCTAGATTCACAGACCAAGTCTCTTCCTAGGAATGCTCATAGAGAGAATCCTGAGAGACAAAGTTGTTCCCTTCTCTGCAGATCAGGCACTCAGAAAGCAAAAGACATAGACTTTGCCACTGGGTTCTCACTGTGTGCTGGTAACAGAAATGTAGAGTTAGGAACCCAGGATTGATTTCAAGTGTTGGAAAGGAGTCAGTTGGCATACACACACTTCTTTTTCTGTTGCTTGGGATTTGACTAAAGCAAACCAAGAAAACAGTATTAAATCATTCCTGACACCAGGATGAATCTTCCTTTGAAAGGCAAAGCCTACTCCAAAGCATGCCCTTTCCAAAGTTTCTTAACACAATAGCTAAAAACTCTCTCTTTGCTTCTAATAGGATAAACAACGTTATCCACAAATACAGCAGGTTTTTTTAGTTTTAATTCAGCTTGAGGCAAACTGCCAGCATGAAAACTTCCAGCTCAATTAATCAGAAAAAATTACAAACAATGGAAAAAAGTTTCTTTTAATGGCAAATGGTAATGAACTTATATTCCAGTAGAGCTTCCAATTTGCTTTATAAGTATTCTACACTATTAGGGCAGAAATATGTATGCTGCCAGCAATCCAACATTTCAATATTAATAGGAAGAAGAAATGCTAGTACAGGGAACAGACCCTGAGCTGGGCATCAGGATATACAGATTTCATTGTCTGTCTGCCTGCTCATCTGCTCCTGTGGTTTACAGCAAATCCTTCATCTTTTTCCTCTGCACTTCTCTTTGTCTTTTCTAGGTAGGTTTTAAACTCTTCAGGACAAAGACCATCTCTGACCAATTCTGGCATACCAAGACTCACAATGGTTCCCTGCAGATCCCATAGGTGTTACCAGAATATATGCATTAAATTACAGTAACTTTTTTGTTTCATTTCTGATTTTAAAGATTCTGCTAATAATCTTAACTTTAATACCCTGCTTTCCAGTGGCTCCATTCCCTGTAATTCCTGATGGTAATAAATATTTATTTGCAGTATTATTTTTGCCTGTTTCCTTCTCTGGAATAGAAGAACATCTTACTGCATGTTGCACAGAGGTCTGTGGCATCTTCCCAACTAATGCAAGACAACAGCGGGTTGAGCCTTGCCAGCCTGAGGAATGGATATCTCATTCAGTTAGCCTAAATCTTAAGACACTGAAGAACCACTATGGTTCTCCTATGCAAGAGGTTAAATCTGAAAGGGCACCAAATGGTAGTCGCATCTCAGAGGTAACAGGAAAAAGAAAACATTTCTATTTGGTACTGGGCTTGGGCACATAGAAAAGGCGCCCAAGGGTGAAGGAGTTGGCAGCTTGCTCTACTTACTAAGCAGCACAGATAAATGTCAGTATGCATCACTGGGCTTTAGGTCACTCCATAAGTTATCCCTCAGCCATGAGCCTTCACAGAGTCCTGGATCAATGACACTTAGCATTGTTTCCTACTGAGTATGGCACACAGTGGTGCACCTTTACCTTGCTAGAGCAATGTAAGTGCATGAAATTATGCCTGTAATTAAGCATTTGTGTTTCAGGAAGAAATATATCTGTGGATCAAATTCCTACCTGCTCCAGGGGAGGAAGGTTCAAACATACTAGATGTATCACTGCATGTGTTGGAAGCTTGCTCCGAGAGCTTCTTTTTTGCACTTCCATCTGCAGACTTGTGTGACTTCTTTTTATTCTTCACCAGAATTTTGTACATTAAATCCATAGGACTTGGAAGAGGAACCCCAGATTCAAGCTTGCAGAAGAAGGAAGAGAAATTTGTTACAACGACAAAAGAAAAGAGCTCATGGCAATTTCTTAGGGCCCACACGGTACAAGGTAATTTTGTAATCTCTATAAGCTCTGTTCGAATGAAATGTATTTTGCACAAGTGGTAACCTCAACATTAAATGAAACAGGCTACTGAGGGCACTCAAGAAGAAAAGAAAAATGCCTTATAAAATGTCTGCGGTAATAACCGAAGTAAGTATTAGTTCAAATCTGAAAGCCTAAATTATAAAACAGCAGCTATGAGAATCAATTGCATTTGGAAGATTATAATTCACTGTATCAGAACAATCTCTGCATCAGAAATGATATGCTTAAATCACCAACAGCTCATACTATTTAACCCCCTCCTTCAGACTCTGTTTTGAAAGGCTGCATATGAAGAATGACACAGGACTGGAACAAATAAAATTCACACAGGTATTTGTGAGCTGATAAACACCAAACCATATTACCGGGTATTTTTCCAATGGGTCCATAAGCAATGCATCTCCAAATATTAATCTGCAGTACTCTGCCATTTTTGCCTGTTGTTTAGGGCTGAAGGGAGAAAAGAAATAAAGAAATGAGTCCTATTAATGCTACAGAGTGAAAGCAGAAGTAATGGATTATCTCGTATCTCTAAACTAGACGTAATTTACTGATCCAATTGCCATGACTTTTTCAGATCAGACATGAAGTAAAGGCATTAATCAATTGATTAATAGTGAAACTGAACTTTTAACATTGAGGTCTATTTTCCTCAAAAAAGAGGCTGTCAGTTGTTAACTTTAGGGAAATAACCATTGGATGAACTTGCTTCTTTCAGGCAACATTTTGAGTCAAAGTTTAAATATTTTCTCCTTACTTTACCTTATACACATGCTGGCATTCTTCACACACACGACCCCATCTGGATTTTGTTCCCTTTTTGTCTTACCTGACCTAAGGCATAATATCCAAAATGGTGACATAGAAAGCAGTCTCCTGTGCAGGTGTCTCTGTTAAATTTGCCAAGCGAAGGATATAGACACCACCACGTCTATAAGGCACAGCCATACAGAAGGAGCAGAAAACATTACCTGGGCCTCAAAACCTGCAAAGCTGCATCAGTTACAGGCACTGGTAGAGAAGCAGCTCGTTTTACTGCACATTTCTGAAGTGCAGTTAGTTTTACTGCAGATTTTCTGCTAAAACACAGCCCATTTTCCCATCCTTTTTGTAAGCCCATGTGAGGTGAGTGCTGTGCTTATGCAGTGTGACAGCCTGTCTGGCCACAGCCCTGCCCAAAGGTGCACTTCTGCACTGCATTCCACAGCAAAGCACCCACTGCCCTCACCCGCTCACTCACCCTGCCATACCCTGGCAGGGTCACAGCAGAGATGCAGTTGTGCTAAGGTGTATTATGTCAATTTGGAGAACTGCTGTAAGAAGGGCTGTAAAAAGTGCTGGTATAACTACATTTTATATGCATGTAATTACATGCTGAATTCATGTGTATGCAACTGGGACAAGTGTATCAGGACAGCCTTCTTAGTGAGGATCTAAATGTAACAACAAGGTGGAGCTGCTCAAGGATTTCAGCTGGGTTAGGGATATGGTCAGATTCCTTTTTTATAATTTAAAAACTTGTTTCAAATCAGACAGTGTCAAATCTTACCACAGTGATTTACTGCAGTGGTTTTTGTAACATCCTCTAGAAGTAAACTGAACCTCAGTAAACTCTGTTTATAATCAGTTTTCCCAAAGTGCAACCTAAGAATTAAATCATTCCTGCGTATCAGTGATGGGAGTTTTAGGACTGAAGATAGGTTATACTGCTCAGAAATACTTCTCAAATCATCCTAACATGCAGCTTAGTGTTACAGTCACTCTTTAATCTTAGATGACTGTTCTTGCCTGAGAAATCTGGAGAGTGACTTTATACAAGGGCATGCAGTGACAGGACAAGGGGAATGGCTTTAACCTGACAGAGCGGAGACTGAGATTAAACATTAGGAAGACATTCTTCCCTGTGCGGGTGCTGAGGCGCTGGCACAGGGTGCCCAGAGAAGCTGGGGCTGCCCCATCCCTGGCAGTGTTCAAGGCCAGGTTGGACACAGGGGCTTGGAGCAACCTGCTCTAGTGGAAGGTGTCCCTGCCCGTGGCAGGGGGTTGGAACTAGGTAAGCGTTAAGGTCCCTTCCAATCCAAATCATTCCTTGATTCCATGATTCTATGTGTAGTTTTGTTATATGTGCCTGTTTAAAATCTGCAATATCTGAGCTTAGGTATCTTCAAAAGTTTCCCTTTTTGATACCCTGCTGAGGAGTCTTGATTAAAGGACAAGGCTTATATTGCTTAATATAACTTCTTCAACTACTGTTAATGATGATCTGCATATCACTGAAGCTACACAAATGGTTTAAGCGGTTTTGTTACCATGGAGCTCTTTTTCATGACAATCTAGAGCTGGGTGTATAGGAAAAAAGGAGTGCTCATTTCTCCTGCAAACTAGGAGTACAACAACTGCTGTGTCTAGTTTGTCATTAGCTACCCAGCGAGCACCTGCACTGCAGCTCTTGCTGGGGTCAGCAAGGCTAAACCAGAGCTGACGTAAAGGCTTGGTGGCATTTGATACAGAAAATGTAATTTCCCCAAAATCTGCATTCTGGATGTCCCCTGAAGCAGATCTGGGTGAACCAGTCATTAGTTCAATCACTGACGAAATATATTGCGGAGAGGCTTTAAATTACTCCACAAAGCTATGCAAGTCCTGCCTGCAGTTGAAATCACTGCAGCGTTTCATGAATGCTTGCATTTGCATGCAGCCAATTCTGCAAAAAAGTTAAAAGCCACTTTTAGCTGAGGATGGAAAATTAAGATGAAGACAAGCAAGGCAGTGGAACTAAGAACCCACAAGGGAGGAGGCAATGGGGATAATAGATCAGGTGTTAGCTATTTCAAACCTCTAGCTACCAAGGAAACTAAAGGTACCTCACTCTAGTAGTACCTCACCCTAGTAAGCAACCAGACTGGGTATTTGTGATAGGGTCAGGGGGGTCATTATATTGAATTTTAGTTCAGTCTTCTCCACCAGTGTATATTTGGAATAGACCCATGCTCTTAGAACCCAGAGAGTTCAGGCATCTCTTTGAATCAAACGAGCTCCACTATTGAAATCATAGTTATTAGATGTGACATCAGCACATCAACTCCAAAATGAGCTCTTGATAGGAATCCTAAGAAAATATGCAAGAGTTAAATCTAGTAATTTTCAAACTATCACCAAAGCTAGAACTAATTCTTCTGATCTTCTATGTGTAATTACATGTTTACCTCAAAGAGAGCACAGTGAGAACTTTCAGTATTGCAAAAGAGAAAAACGTAATGCAACAGTGTTTGGGGTTAGCACATAAATTCCAGTGTCGCTGCACCCCGGAGGCGAAGAAGGAAAAGGAAAATGATGTGAAAAACTAATGGGTTTTAATACAATAGAATAAATAGTAGTAGACAAGTCAAACGTAGGAAAGTCCTGACATCATAAAATAACTTATTGCTATGAATTGGACTATGTGCACAGGTATTTCTGACAACTCCTAAGAGGGAATAAAAAATATCTAGGTGTACCAGCATTTAACTGAGTGGTACAACCAGAGCAACAGATTGAAATACCAACTTTTCTACACCAACATATGCCCCATTTGTGTTATGAAACAAAAAAGTAGGTATTTCCTGGTCCACATCTACTATTATTGGAAATTCTCTGAGTGTTCATGTATTGTATTGAAAATTGACGCCTGAAAAGAGCTGACACTATCTGCTTTATGATTTTTACTGGGCAAACATGGATGGGGAGCACACAGACTAATTATATATGCCCCCAAATGTGCCAGAGTAAAGGAGACACCTGGCGGTATGGAAATATAAACAGTATTAAGAAATGTTTTCGTTACCATTAATGTATTGCTTGTACTTTGTTTTACTGTGTTTGCGTTATGCCTACTATGAAGGTCAATCAGAGAGGCTCTTTGGCACTACTGCTCCTAACACTATGTTGTTGTCACTTCTGCAGAGATATTTCTTCTGCATAAGACAAAGACACAGATGCTTCCCAGAAGAGTCTAAAATAATTTCAAGTGGAGGAAGAAAGTGATAAAAATCCTGTTAACGTTTGAAATAACAATTCCAGCAAGAAACCAGCAATATGAATAACTGTAATTAAATTTAATCTTGGAAGCAATCTTATATGGATACTGCTCAAGGATCACTTAACCTTTTTGCTATATCATCAGTGCATCTGTAATTATAGAGTGTCTGCTTTCGGATTTGCAGATTGCTTATCTTCTTGCAAGCCCAATTTCAACATCAAGGTCTTCTTGAGGTCTTTATAAAATTTTCAGGGAACTTGTCTATTTTTTTAAGAGAACCACATCTTTTCATCTCACATCTCATCTTTCTCCCTTTCTTTTTTCAGCCATGTTTTGGTGTCAATATAAATGATGGCATACATGAAGTTTTATCTATTCTAAAAGTTATATGCTTTCCTCTTTTATCTATTCTAAAAGTTATATGCTTTCCTCTTTTATCTATTCTAAAAGTTATATGCTTTCCTCTTTTTCTGAACTTTAATGTATAAAAGCAGGCAAGAATGAATATACTACACAGTGCAGTTATAGTAAAGGAAGTGAAAATACTGCACATGCTATAAAGGTATTAGAGAGGAGTCCTTCAAGGAAAAGCACTGAAAGAAAGCAAAATGAGTTGATTAACACTATGTGCTAATAAGTGATTTGTTCTCTAGGTGGACAAAAAGAACCAGAAAGAAGAAAACCTGCATTTTAAGTCCAGTGGTGATTAACACTGTCATTTCTATGGTGGTGATCTAAAACTTACTTACCTCTGATAATCAGAGTCTGTTTAAAAGCCATGAATAGAGAACACAGGCTAAAACCATCTTCTGGTTTAAACCAAAACCAAAGCCAAAAGGACCAACATTTCACACATGAATACTGACTCTAGTAACTTGAAAACTGCAAGAAAAAATTGGTCACCCCGAAGCAGGAATTGATATCATAGGATTTGTTTGACAGCAATGCTATAAAAGCAGTTAGCATTTTTTTGTTAATGCTTTGGGGAAAGTCCATCTTTAAGATCTAGAAGAAAAACAACATTCCAAGTAAATGAAAAGACAAAAGGAACATTCCATGAAATTAAGTGAAGGTTTCTGCGAGTGGCATGACTAATTGCAGATTTCTCTAGCAACTAGTGAATAAATGAAGGGATAATTGTAGCAGTTGGTAAAATAACGAGAAATTATTCTTAGCCAAAGCAAAATTAGAAATCACACACATTAAGCCTGGTGATTTACTGCAGCAGCAAATAATAAATAGCAATAAAGCCTCAGAAAAAGAAAATACTTGATATTGTTTTTGCAGACTTGCTTTGCTAAAAACCCATGTCATAGCAATGCACGGAAAAGGACATCAAATAATACACTTCGGGATAATTCATTAATCCATTACTGGAATTCTCTGGAGAGAAAGGTCCAATGGTTTCTGTGAGGCAAACTGTAACTATCGGAGTACACAGCAGTAATTCTGTTCCCTCTTTGACAAATTCCTGCAGTATCACACCACCTTTAATTCTAACAGGGTTTCATCTTATAGTTTTAAAGCCACTTATGTACATAACTTACATCTGACAGGAATTTATTTTATACCTTTTTTTTTAACTTCTTTACTTTCCTAAAATAGAACAGATCACCCTGGAATAGTTGAAGGTGTCTTAATGACTTTAAAGGGGGGAAAAAAGGTAACCTTTCTGGTTAAAATAAACTGGATGATGCTTCTTCTGTGCCTTATAGTACCACAGTGAATTTATGTGTTAACAAATATGGAAGAACAAATACAAAACACAATGCATTGAAGAATGATGGTTTTTCTGAAGACTAGAGGTTGCATTTGGAAACACTGAGAAGGGCATTGTGAGTTAAACCCTGTAGCAGTAGGTGAGCATAAGCAAGTCCAAAGTGACCTAATTTTCATCAAAAAGAAAGGAGTGAGTGGACTGATTAAAGAAACTAAATACATACAGTATCTGTGTGGTCTTCCAGAGGAAGACAGAACTAACTCAGCAGGATTTAACAGGTAGCTGTTTGAATCATAACCATGTGGCCTTTAAATGTGTGCAGAGCAAGCAGAGATTTGCCCACAGAAGCTAAGCTCGTGCTGTAAGGGACAGAATCACAGAATCACTTCGGTTGGAAAAGCCCCTTAAGATCAAGCCCAACCGTAAACCTAACACTGGCAAGTCCACCACTAAAACATGTCCCTAAGCACCACATCTGTATATACAGGTAGTATAGGCCAGCTCTTAGATTTTAAACTTTTCTACCTATACATTTTTTGATCCATTTTGTCACATCTGTTCTTAAAAACATTCTTTCATAGCTGCTTCTACCAGTTCCTTCCCTTATGACGAGAATGTTCTTCCTAAAACAATGGAAAAGCAGTTAGCCCTCGCCCTTTTCCTCTTCAAGAAACAGAATTGCCAACATCTTTTCTGATTTGTGTTAAATCAGCTGCCCCAAAGATTACCTTTTATTTCACATTAAAACAACAACAAAAAAGAAGGTTCTCAGTCCAAACTGGCCCCAGAATTGTTGAAAATGTTTTCACAAACAGCAGAAAACAAAAGGGGAAAAGGCAGTGGAAGTTAAGGCACATGTTATGAGTCAATGTCACCCCATTTTGAGCTATGGGGTCTCTATATTTGAAACCAAAGTTAATGTCAAACTTAAAAGAAGAAAAATAAGAACTAGAATTACAACAACTGCAATAAATATATCAATGGGATAATTTTAGAAGTGGTCTCACTTATTTTTTCTTTTCTTACACAGAAAAAATGTCCTTTTTTTTGTAACAAAAAAAGGAAAGGAAAAGAGGCTTAAGCAAATGGGTATTTTTTGGCAGAAACATTACAATTCCTGGCCATTCAGAGCACCTATTTTGGGTTCCTACTTGATCTATGGTTCTGGCCTCTACATCTAGTACACAAGAAACAGACCAAATTCTGTGCAGAGAATAGGGTCATAAGCAGGTGAAATACAGCTTCTTTTTCTCTGATGAAGTACTGGTACAGCAGAACATACTGACACTGTAAAGTTTACACACTTTGTCTCACAATTATTCAAACTCTCTTTCATACAAAAGGTTCTAATTTGAGAAGGTTTTTAAAGAACATGCCCAATTCTTTCTGATCATCTTGGTTACATAGGCTGGTACAGGGTTTTCTGGACTAAGAGATGTTGGTCATTTCATACAATAAAAGTGCTACAAGTGCATACATTATTCTGTGTTTAGACCTTACAAGAAATGTAACACCATACAGGAAAACATGGTAATTACTTACGAATCCACATGGTTTTCAAAGGAAAGGAGGATTGGAAAGGGCGATGTCTTAAATGCACATTCAGCAATAGCTTCTATTACTTCCTAAAGAATCAAAATACATACAGTTACCAATTTATGTCTTTAAAGAGAGAGGATGTTGGCTCTTAAAGACAGAAAAGACCCAAAGAGGTCTGAAGTCATACCCAAACCGCCTGAAATCAGACCTTCTGTTCTAAACATCCCAGAAAGCTCTGGAACGTGCTTTTGCAGCAACCAAGTTCTTCAACCTGAACTGTAATCAAACCTCCAAAGTGTCTGATGAGCCTCAAGCACTGCATTTCTCAAGAAATGACTTATGTCTGCCTAAATCAATAGTTCAAACATAAAACAGTCTTTGTGGGGAACCGTTCCATGCCTGAAGCTATGACTTTCATGAACTATTTTGCATAATAATAAACGTGCTCTGACAAATACATATCTTCTAAACATCATCAGCACAAGCACGTATCCATAAAATCCTTCGTTAATCTCACAAGTTTTAGTTCCCTTTTTGGATGAGAGAAATCCCTTTAAGGCAAAAGACAGAAAACCACTACTCAGTTAAAACAGTTGGCTGCACAGTAATTATCAGAGGCCTCAGAAACTGAAACTTCTACACAAGTTTCCTTTCAGCTCTGATGGAAACCGACAACTGTAAATCCAGAAGAGGAATCATTTGATAACACTAATTTTTGTGGGGTGCACAATGTAGTAATGCACTTACTGTTACAAATTACTCAGTGCTTCTCTATTGAAACACAAATCTTTTTTCAATAGAGCTTCTAAAATACTGAAGACCTTCCATACTGCTGTCAAATGCTGGTGTTTATAAGAACCTTAGACTCTGGAGTTTGTAAGAACCCAGAAGCTTGTTCCCTCCCAAATCATAAGGAGGACCAAAACCTGAAAGATTTATTTTAAACAAGCCTCCTCTGGGGATTCCTTTTGGTCATTTTCTGTACTTTTAAAAGCTCAACAGTAAAAAATCCACTTCCTAAAATGAAAGGTGAGCTTCTGGTGCATTCTTCTGATGTTGTGTTGCAGAATCCAAGGCTGGAAGGAAAGCACAAGCCATTTCAATATTTGCTGGTATAAGCAAGGATACAAACAAGAGTTAAAGTCTTCATGTAATTAGAACAAAACACAGCTCATGCACAACTTGTTGTAGTATCTCCTGTAAGATGAGAAATTAGCTCTCTCAGCACACAGAGGTGGTGAATGACTACGTTTAATAACTGCAATTATTAGATATTTAAATGCCTCACTTATAACTAATCACGTGCTTCAACTAAGAGCACTCCTTAGTCTTCAAAAGAAAGGCAAAGAATTTATTGGAAGACTAGTAAATGGTGCAGAAGGCTGGGTGAAGGCAAGTAGAAAGCTGCAGTTTCACAACTGCAGTTATCCTATGGGAGAATGCACCACGGAGTGATTTCTGCTGCACACTTTCTTTCCAACTCCAGTAAATCACTAAGAGCTGGTTCCACCTTAACCCTGTCCAGAACCAGTGGGACTGTCAAAAGCATCTCAGGCAATTTTGCCATTACAAGGGAACAGCAGGGCTGAGAACTGGGTTGCAAATATTGAGTCCTCCCATCTTGATGTTCTCCACCCAGATCATTAGTGATGGCACCACCCCTTGGGTATCTAGGATCATGCAGACTTGAGAACACGTGAAGCTGGATTTAAGAAGTACTGCTGAAAAGCAGTCCTGAGGCCTTTCTTGCTCCTACACACTGCTCAAGCTGTGGAGTAAACCCACACATTTATTTTCAACTGCAATCTCCACTGCAAAAAGAGAGTAAATCCCAGGGAAAATGACCTGGAAGAGTAAAATCAGGATTACACAGATGAAATCTGAGGATGAGAAGCTGAGGCATTGGTTCAGTGGAGAACGAGGTGTGCTGGTGACTGAGTCTTGCACTGCGTTCAAGTGTAAACGCAAACGCTCTACAGTCAGAGAGGAACAACATGGTAAGTTCCATATTTGAGGCCAGCTGCAGAATGACTCACCTGAACAATGTCTCCCGAGTATATATAAAGTGCACACACACACAGATTCCTGGTTATGGCATGGAAAATACTGTTGGTTCCCCACAAGATCTCACCCTGGCAGCAGCTCACCATCTGCAGCTGGGAAAAACCTTACTGCTTTCTGTATGGCATGAAGCAAGATAAAAACCAACTACACAAAAAAGCCCACAAAACCCCCAGCAACATAAGGATGGGGTGTATATATTGCTTCTGACTCCACGCTTCAGAAAGCCTATCTGAGGCAGTGAAAACTGACAGACCAAACAGAAGCATCGTGTACTGTGGTCACGCCAAAAGCGTGAGCTGATAAATGATTCAGCATTCAAGACCCAGTGATCACTCTGTATTGATTCACACACTTCTGACACATTATTTCACTACCATTCTGCTCCTCCTCAGCCAAGCAGCACATTTTGAGCGTTGAGAAGAAACCAGCAGTCAATACATTTTTCTGTGTGGAGGAATATATACTTGCCCTGAAGTGACAGCTGAAATATTCTTGTGTAGGTTCAAAATACTTCCCAAGATCAATCCTGCAGACACAGTGTCTAAGGTTACACATCTAAGTAATCAGGGATAATCCTCATTCCTGCTCATGATCCTTTTAAGAATCAGATTAACTTTGTTTTAAATTCCTGCTCATGACCAAAGGAGTTGAGAGCTGTCTTCCTTAATTAAAGGACTTTCAGCGGCCAAATTCTGTGCCTATAAACATAATTGGCTTCACATAAACATAACTGGAAAGTAAATAACAAATGTGTGAGAAGGTTGTTTTATGCCTTCCTGTGATTAACTCAATCAGTGAAGAGTTAGAGAAAAGAAATCGAAAAGAAAAGAGTGTTCTGGTGTGAGTAAAATGTGGTGTTTTGTCTGTGTGCCAGTGTAATTTGCTTTCTTCCCCTAAAAGAAGGCAAAAGAAACCCCTCAACAACTCATGCTTCAAGTGTGGGAGACATGCTTCAAAGCTGCAGCTAGCAGAGAAGCCACACCTAACACCTATAACGTAACCAAATTCAGCAATTATCACTTTTTTCCACATCATCTTGCACATGGGTAAGTCTAGAAACCTATTTCCAGAGTGAGTTAGTGTCTCAGATGAAGAATAATTTCTTCACACTTGAAAAACGATATCCTGATTATCATTATAAGCTGTGCTGACTACCAATCTCAGTATTAAAGAACACCTCCATCATGCCCCTCTAACACCCTGGATCAAAAACATCTTTAAGAATAACAAGAAGGTAACAATTTACAGTTATTGCTGAGGGTATAGTACCTACCTTTCATTATAGAGAAAGGAAATGGAAGATGAAATTCAGTAATACAGATGATATGCTTAGGGTCTGAATGACACAAATACTCCCTTGCAATCTCAAAGATACTAATTTTACTATTTCATCCTCCAGTGCTTCAGATCTGATCCCACATATCAGGGATAAGAGTAACACTGCACACACTGTTACTCAGTTTTTAATTGTGACTATAATGCCGAGTGTCTGGACCCTGGGGTGGGACCTGCCCATCTGGGCATGGGTAGCTTACTCTCTGCTCACAGAAACCTACAGGCTTGCAAGCTGTTGAGACTTCCATGATAGCTGCTGTTTCCTGCCTCAGTTCAGCACTTCTGTCTCCCACTCCCACTTACCAGGCAGAGAAGAAAGAATACACTGATGCATTGCTTACTGCTGCTCAAGCTCAAATCCCTGTGGCCTTCATCTCAGCTCCCCTCCCTGCTGCATGCTACGGAGCTGTAACACAAACTAGTCCTTCCTCCCCATCCTCCTGGCTCCAGATGCATCCACAGACCTGTTTTACACTGTGCAAAACCAGCTGTAGTGGCAGTACCTGGTCTTTCAGCCCTGGCTGTGCTCTACCCTGTTTCTCTCCCTGTGAGGTCTGCTGAAGGGACATGCACAGCAGTACGGACCTGGGCACTGAGCCCAGTCCCCAGATGGCACAGACTGTCACGCCACATAATCCTTTTTCCTCTGACTGCCGTAATGACCAAGATCCTCGTCCTGCGTGAGGTCCAAATACTGCAGCTCCTCTCCTCCAATGATTCTCCACACGCTCTGAAACCTCTTAAAGTATCTTTTTGCCCTCACTTTTCTACTCCCTTCCACCTGTGCAGTAAGGTTCTAGCAAGGCATTTGTGATGCATCTTACGTGGAAGCAACCTCCCCAGCTGAAGAGATCCGTGAGCTGCACAGCCGTACCTTGAAGGATATTTCAGTTGTCATCGTGAATCCGTGTGTAATGACCGGCTCCTCCTCAGCTGTTCGTCCTTTCCAGCAGTCCAGCTCCACACAGCGGCAGCCTGACAAAAGCACTTGCCGATACATCTCCACCGATGAGTTACCGGCCAGCTGCCCAGCTACAACAGCACAAGGACATGGAAACAGGGAAGTAATTTGGGGCCTTGGGAATAAATACAAATGATCTAATAATAATTAGCATTAACAGAATCTTTTGCCCTTGGCTGAGAGAAATAACACTCAACGGCACACAGAAAGTGTAAGACCGCGATGGAAATAACTTAGGCAGAGTCAATGTTGTGGTTTGGATTCTGCCCTCAGTTAGAGTGCTGTGAGTGAGGAGAAATAACTGACTGAAACCAACTAAAAAACTTCTGATGGACAGCACGGAAAACAGAAAGTGAAAGAGAAAAGGAAAGGGAAAGGGAAAGAACTTAGTTCTCAAAGACTGTTATCCTTTGACAAGCGATGTGAAATTCAGAGGTGACTCAGGGCAGCAAGATCGTATTTTCTCACAACAGGCAATACAGTTTAGTACAGGATAAACCAAACCTCCTGCAGAGTCACTGATGGTACCATGATGAGGTCTCAAATCAATATTTAATACACTAATCGCCACCCTGAGCTGGTCAGTGGGATTTTCTGATGTGATATTGCATTATTAAGTGTTCAAAACCCATGTAGATGAGGCCCTCAGTGACATGGTTCAGTGGTGGTCCTGGCAGTCCTGAGGTGATGGCTGGACTTGATGATCATAAAGGTCTTTTCCAACCGAGCTGATTCTATGATTCTATTATGTAGGGAGAATTTTAATTGATCTACCAGTTTCCAACAATGACACAATAAACATCTAAAAATAAACAAGGAAAATTTAGCTTTTCCCAAATGCAAAAAGTATTAAAAAAACTCCCAAGACCCCCCCTAAAGATCCCTCAAACCAACAAAAATGTCCATTTGTATTGAGGGAAGAATATCCAGTCAGGTGTCTTCATCTGCTGCAACAGCTTTGATTCCAGTCATACGGATATAAAGGTCGTGCAGCAGGGACATGTTTTACATGTGAAGAAAATGGATGCAGCTTCCTGCTTCCTACCAGACTTCCTAAGAAGACATTCCCGATTTCTAGACAGGAATTCACTCGGCATTTTAAGGAGGCAGGAAGTTCATTTAAGCTAAAGAATCTTTGCTGATGGGGGACATATAAATGATTTCTTCAAATTGGTATATAATATATTGCAGATTTCTCTAATCCTCATTTTATTGTCTCTGTGGCTCTGTGTTTAAGTTTTATGCTGGGAATTACACGTTTTGAGTTTTGCTTCACTAAATAGCACTGTCTGCTTTCTCTGGGTTTTACCTTCCACTAAAAACTGTAACAGAAACCCTTTTCTGTCTGAAAATTCCTATTTACTGTTTGTGTCTAATACGTGAGCTGGAGCAACCATAAATACTCCGCAAGGTATTAACATTACTCCTGTTGAAATCCAAAAGATTTTTCAGCTCCTGGTGGAACCAGTGGGAAATATGTGTTAATAACAGAAGAATTTGGCCAGTGCTGGAAAGTTCTGAAAATCCAAATGGAGTCAGCAAAGTGACAACCTGTCTTCCTTCTTTTTACTTAACTTTTCCTGTGCTTCCCCTTTGATTATGGCAGATTATCTTTGCTTACATAAAAGTCTTTTTGGTGCAGTCTCAGTATCTGGGTTAAGCAGCGGCTCTTTTTCTTTGCAGGATGCAAATGAACATGAGCATGGATCATAGTACAACAGCAGCAATTTCAGTGTATTCATCCCTAAGCATCTGCTTGTGAACATTTTGCTCTCATTACATGGATCTGATAAACTCTGCTGCCTAAAAACTACATTCACTTAAAAACCTGTTTTCATGTTGTCTTTCTTCTCCCTCGAAGCATACTGAATTTGGATTAACACACTATTTTATGATTAACAAACTCCACTATACTTCCTGAGAGACTACGGACCATTATTACTGCTAAGTGTTTCAGACTACAAGATCTTTAACCTTCAGAAGCGCTTAAGTAAATCATGACACGCCTCACTTGCCATCTAACACTTCTCCACGCTATCTTATTAATAAGGCTCAGACGTTTTGGAAGGATTCCTCCTAAGGATGAGAGGATATTCAACCTCCAAACCATTCAATCTTCAGAAAGGCTCCCAGCCACAGTGCAAACGCTATCAAGTGTTTTAATAGTCTCAACAGCTTATTTTTTCTGAAATACAGAATATTAGGAATGTTCCCTCAAATGTTTTTTGCATATATCCTTTATCAATTTCTGGTTTGAGTCTCTATGTGCATCTTTTCCAAACCAGCCCTTAAATAGATACATTCTAACATGGGCTAACACAGACACCAAAGGGAATACTTCCAGTATGGTATTTTTCATATTACAGAGCAATTTTTTAAGAGTAGAAATTGGAAGCAGTATGTCTTCCCTTATATAATACATACAGCATCTACAGTAATACCACAGCTGTATCCCATCACCCTACACTGAATAAGGAGAAACAGATTTTGACAAAATCTTGCTTTTCTGAAAAATATAATTGGCCAAATCATGCCTAGGAAAACAAGCCTGTCCTGACTGATACAAGCTGAGGACATGACCCATGTGTCTCCAACAAGATCAGTTTCACACCTCTGTAACTTCAAGCTGTTCATTTCTCAGCAACTGCATCCTTTTGGGGTTCATTCATCACTGTTTTTCCAAGTGACAGTTATTTGCAACACATGGACTTGAAATTTAGTTACCATTTTAAGATCAGTATTGTCCCAAATCTGGGGGATATTTGGATCCAGGTATGTGGGGTCACCTCACTCTTCACTACTCTAGAACACAGGCAGCTTCTGCCCCCGGGCCCACCCACAGCACCCACCTTCTCCTAGCAGGAAGGGCCAGTATATTCCCTTTGCCATGTACAAGCACAAGTTGCTAAACCTCTATGCAGGCAAGGCCTGGAAAAGCAATCAGTGCTCCGGATCACACGCTGTAGTTTGTAATGTGCAAACCCAGAGCCCCGGACTGCTGCGAGTCTGGCTCTTGGCTGCAGCAGCACCAGAAGGCGCTGGCGGCTGAATCAGTTTTAGACACAGTACATTTATCTGGATTTATTTTCCTTCCGAGCTATCTTGCCATGCACAGGACAGAGAATTAGACCCCACACTGTGACACGTTCTGCTACTGCTTGTGCGTAACTCAAAATAAGGCTCTCACCCTATGGCTGTTATTTATAACACTTCGCGCTGGAC